CATGTCCTCCCTCTTTTCCTACATCTCCACCGCCCTTCCCACCGTCAACTCTTCCAATGTCATCATCTGGGGCTTCTCCACAGGAGGGTACTACTCCCTCCGCGCAGCCCACACCCATCCGTCCCACCTCCTCGGCTCCGTCTCCCTCGGCGGCGGCTGCCACCACATGTTTGACGAGACCTGGCTCCGCAACGTCAACCATTTAGAATACCCCTTCGACCTAGCCCATACCCTCGCCCACAAGTTCGGTTACGGAGACAATCTAGACCAATTCATCAAAGAAGGCAAGAGCAAATTCAGTCTCCTCGACAGCGGGATCCTGGACCAGGAAAGTTGCAAGACGTTGGTGGTCAATGGTGACTTGGACGAGATCTTCCCGGTGGAGGATTTGTATCTTGCCGTCAAGGACAAGAACGGGAATGTGAGAAAGAACACCGAGTTCAAGGTTGTCGAGGGGAGGAAGCACATGGGGGAGCCCGAGAGCTTTGGTGTTATTCTCGAGTGGATTCATGGGCTGTGGGGGTTGAAGGCGGGAGTGGACGAGTTCAAGAAGGGCGTTTTGGAGGGTTTGCCTTTCAAGCCGAAATATTGAAGGTAGTGGTGAGACTTGATCAAGTTGTTGCATCGAATACCATGGCAAAGAAGCTGTGGCTGTGGAGAAGCTTGCAAAAGTTTTGGCCTGATTTTCAAGAAGATGCTAATGCACATGGTGATAATGTTCCTATATTGTCCAAAGCCAGGAAAAAAAGGAGAGAACCTATACGGAGCCCTTTATTTATCTTACCAACACCCCCCTCCCCCCTTGGATATAGAATCTAATTATATTGCGAAGGATGATTACTAAGGGTTGAAAGATATTCAATAGGCTTTAAAAGATAGTTAAGAGGCATTTAAAGATAGTTAAAAGGCGGTAAAAGGTAGTAAAAGGGTTAGAAGATAGTGAAGAGCCGTTAAAAAAATAATGAACAGGCCTTTAAAGATAGGTAAAGGGGCTTAAAAGTCAGTTTGAAGGCCTTAAAGAATAACGTAAAGGCGTTTAAAGAAAACTTAAAAGCTTATTATTTTTCTTTCAGGACCTAAAAACACCCGCTTATATCGCTATACGCGCTCTCACCCGCAAGTCGCATCTCCCACTGATTAATCAACCAAGCTTGGACTAATGGCTCTTGCGCCTCAACATCGAAAGCTTTTCAAAATCGTTCTGAACCACTGCCAGCTCCTGCTCCAGCCGTACCTTGCGAGATTCAAGTTTGGCAATCTCAACGTCACACCGCGCTCTTTCCCTGTCCATAAAGGCGACAGTTTCTACCAAAATATTGTCCGTACGATCGTTCCAAGCCTTTAGCGCATCCGTTTCGGCTTTCGTCGACTTCAGGTGTTCAAGGGTGAAGTTGCATGTCTTGAGCGCCTTACGTTTGAGGTGCCGCTCCATGTATTTGAGGATGAAGGGATCGCGCGAAAGGTCATATGGCTCGTCGTTGTCGACTTTCTTGTCGTCTGGGCCGGCTTCTTTTGCTATGCCTTTTCCCCTGACATCTGGTTAAACATTGCTTAGCCGTTCGAACCATGCGAAGGGCGCTGTTGGAGATGTAAGCAAACCTTTCACTGGTGTCGAGTTGTCGGAGGCGTCTTTCTTGTCTTGGAGGTCAACCTCCTCCTTGGTCGAGGCTTCATTACGAATCGTTTGCTGATCCATTACCGTACTGTTTCTTGGTAGCTGTTGCAACAAAGTCTGTAGTTGAAATTAAAACTGGGTGGCTAAGTCTGTGGTGGAACTGTGAAGATGGTGTTGGAGTTGAGGAAGAAAGGGAAGAGGAAGAGTTGACAGATGGGAGTGGGAGATAAGCTGCTGAGGTGCTGTGTCCGGGTCCGAGCAGGCGGCGTCTTGCCACACAGTTCCATGGGAAAGCACAGGGGTTAGCACAGCTGTGCAAACCGTGGATCGAAATGATGGAGGGTACGATCCAAAATGACGACCGTGGAAGATCATGGAGACGGCATCTAGGAAAGAACCCCTCGGCACAATAAACCTCCGCGGACTCGCCCAGGGAAGTCACACACCTCAGCGTTCAGCGGACGAGTCCCTTCAACCTCATGAGGAGGAGCGAGACCGCTGTTCTTTGTTACTATGCACGTTATGCAGCTTCCTCCACCTCTTCACAACAGCCATATATTGCCAACTCACAGTAAACCCAACCGCTCAACTAACCCTCCACCCCCAACCTCTTCGGCCCCCTCGCAACAAAAATCATCATACTCCCCACCACCTCCACCTCCACCTCCTCAAAAGCCGCCTTAAGCCCCTCCTCCAACTGTGCCCTCGTATCACCCTCATTCCCAAAAACCTTATAAACCCGATTATACAACCACAACGTATACCTCACCCTCACCCCCGCCAGTCCCCGGGCTTGATACTCCCTCCCGGGCAAAATAGTACACCCAACCAGCACCCCATCCCCCCTCAACAACCTCGCCGCCATCCCAAAAACCCCATTTTTACCCTCCGGTGCCGTGGTCCGCAGACAGTGAAAAAGGTTAAACATCGTCACAACATCATACCTCCCCTCCCCCAAACTCTTGGGTATATCCCCATCCAGCACATCATGAAGTACCGTCTCGACCGTAGCCAGCTCCCCCAACCGGCCAACCACAACCTCAATCCTCCTCCTTGCCTTCTTCAGCGTAGAAAGATTATTATCCATCAACGTGATCCTCATCGACTGCCTATTCCCCAGACAGGATTTCAGCGCCTCCGCAACAAAAAACCCCGTCCCAGCACCAACGTCGAGATGCTCCCAGCATCTGGCTTCTGTGTGTTCTGGCGGCGAGAAGTATTTCTGGAATAGTGGGAGTTGGACAGACTTTGTAGGGCAGCGCCATATTTGCGTCATGTTGTGGCCCAAGACGTGGATGTCGTAGTAGGAGAGGGTGAAGGCGTTGTAATAGGTTGAGGCGGGGGGCTTGCGGCCGTTGGGTGGGGGGTTCTCGTGGGGAGTCATGGGGAATCGTGCGATCGGTTAGAGGGTTTGGTGGCGTCGTCGAAGGGTGTCAAAGTGGTGATGGAGGGGGTTTGGACGCCGGTCGATGGGCGCGCTCGTGTCTTTTGAGGGTGTTGGTCTTTACTGACGATGCCTTGCCAGTTTTCCTTGTTGCTTTCTCGCCAAAAGAATATGCCCCAAAAATTCTTAAAGATGCGACAAAACCCGGTGAATATAGCGGTATCTCAGCGAGGAGAGAGAGGAGCAACTGTGGACAGGTATGTAAGGTAAAGTTCAATTGCTCCGAGAGGCAGTGAATGAAGGAAGGCGTGAGACGGAAATAGAAGCATGGAAGCCGCGTTGCGCCTCGTGGTCTTCACTATCTCCGTGGTCAGCGGCCATGGTGAATATCTCGGTTCCACTTTGGCGTTGCGATATGGTATAGTTGTCAGTTGCGGGAAATCTTGGTAGTTGTGGACAGGTATGTATATAAATAAGGCCGAAGGCCGGTGCTTCGAATTTCATCCGATATCTCCTCAACAATTGGATCAACTCGGGCCACGTCGTTCAACGGAAAAAGAAGCGCCTGGCGTGACATGGCAAACTTGCGGCTCGAAGTGTGTCAAAATGTGCAAGCGCTGCAATTCATCGCTGTCATTACTGGGTATAGACGCCTCAAAATACTCACCATCTAAAGCTTGGCCTTGACAGCACCCTTTTCCCTCTGCTCCTCCTCTTCTCTAGCCTCCTTGTTCAACCTCCGCCACATATCCTTCCGCAGCTCATGCCCATCCATAAACGCCCTAAACCACTCCCTCTGAAACTTTGGCAACCTCCTCCCCACACCATTCTCCGGCTCCCCCGCCAGTCTCCTCACATCCTCAAAATACTCCTCAAAATCCGGAAACACCAACGTAAACTTGACCCCATCCCCCCTAGCCTTGATCCTCTTCTCCTCCCACTCCTTCATCACCTCCACATTCGGCAGATTCGCCCTCCCCGCCAACACCCTCGCAGCCAAAACAGCCTGCCACTCAAAAATCTTAAACGTCAGCCCCGCACCGACAGCACCGACAAAAAGCAACGTTGGGTCTCTCTGGTACACCACGTGCTGATACAGCTCCGGCACGCGGTTGTTCCTAATCTCCACGTTTGGCAGAAACGGCATCGTCCACGTGTATCCCGTCCCAAAGATGATCGAGTCCACATTCGGAATGCTCTTCCCATCAGCCAAATGCACCGTCCTCGTCTTGGGGCACACAGACTTGATCGAAGGGTGTTGCTGAATCCTCGGGTGCTCAAACGCACCACCGCCAAAGTAGCCATTTGCCGCATGGCCGATGGTGATGGTATGGACTGGCAAATCGGCCGTTTTGGAGTGCGCGAGGTCGTAGGCGATGTCAGCTGCCGACACGGAGGCGCCTACTACAACCACGCGCTATATTCAAGTTAGAACAGGTTCCCGCCGCCGGAAATCCGAAGCAAAAGGGGCAAACAAACCTTGTTTTTGAAATATCCCCTCCCCCGAAAGTGCTTACTGTGAATCACACTCCCCGGCCGCCCCTTTTCAAACTCGTCCAGCCCGTCGATCGCGGGTATGTACGGCACCCAGTAATGCCCGCTCGCCACCACCACCGCGTCAAAGTACTCTGTCCACCAGTAATCTTTCTCCTTGCCCTCCTTTCGCAGCACGAGCTTCCACTCTGTGCCTACCTTTTCGGCCAGCTCGACGGTGGTGTTGTAGGACACCAAATCGTCGTAGTTGTTGCGCTCGATCAGGGACTTGATGTAACGCTGCATGACGGTCCAGTGTCGAAAAGGGGTTTCTGGCCCGTGGAGAATGATGGACTTGTCGGTCTTGTCGGCTGGGATTGGCTCCTGGCTGAAGGACATGGGGAGGTGGTCGACGTTGGTTTCGAGGTAGGGGTAGACGGAGGACTCGGTGAAGCGAGGGCGGTCAGATTTGGGTGTTTGGGCTGGGAGTTTGGGTGGGATGGGGAGGGGGGTGTCTGCGGTGCGGTTGGCGAGGGAGGGGAAGTTGGTGAGGGTGGGGGGGCGGGCTTTGTCGCCGATCCTGGGGATTCGTCAGGAGCTGAGGGTCAGAGATGGTGAGGGGTGCAAAGAAATTACCAGCATCCTCCGGCCTCTTCGCGCCTTTCAAAAACACGGATGATATCAAAGGTTTTTTCTTGGGCGAGAGCGTCAATGGCGATGGCGCCGGCTGGGCCGGCACCGATGACGGCGACGCGCTTGATTGGTGGGCGGGACATGGTTGGTTTGACTGGAAAAGCGAAGATATCGCGTAAAATGTGTCGGTGGTGATGTTTTGGAGCCGCGTGGCATTATGTATGTCTGCCACCTAGCCGTCCGGCCGTGTGGGTCGGGGTGTGATCCGGGCCAAGCCGGGGGTGGTTCGGGAACGACCCACCCTGGCGTATTGTGTTATATCACGCCATCGCTGCGATGGGGAGGTGAAGGACGCTTTTCCACAGCGACGGGGGACGAAGCTGACCGGAAAAAAATCCGAACTAATTTTTGGCTAGGGCAGAAGTATTTTGAAAGAAAAACGCCAAAGACGAAGTCGGCACCGGTGGTGGTGATTTGGTAGCGCCTGTGGCTGGCAAACAGAAAAAACAAAAATGTTGGTGTGCTAACAAACAACTACCGGTGACGTTTGGTGTTCGGTGAGCCAGGCTGCAGCGTTCCTGCCAAGACCTTCCCGATTCGCCCAGGCGTGGTCTGGGCCCTGTCAAATCGTCCCCCGTTTCCCAACTGCCTTCCATCTCCCCGACACCAGTTTCTTTTTCGTTAGACTAATGGCACATTGCGAACCAGTCATTGTTACAAGCTTCAAATTTTGACATTACGCAGCTATCCAGTTTCTTGGTATCGCCAGGACTCGATACCTGTTCCTGGATGCAGTAGTCGATTCTACCACAAACTTGACTTGGACGAGTTCAATGCCACAGAGGCAGTATGCTTTCTCGACAAGGCCGGAAATGAACAGCAACTCTGGCATTCCTTGAGAACTCTCCTCCTATTAGGCCCCAACATGATCCACTTACACCACACCACATCTCATCCCATCCCACAATGAATGCCGACTGGGCACCAGCACTACTTATCAGCCCTCTCCGAGCCCGGTCTCCGGGACGCCTTGCAGCGACTGGTCCCCGAGAATGCGGGTGGCCCGCCTATACCACCCAACTAGCGGGTCCGCACGTGGGAACTGCATCTCGATGCCATCCACGGCCTGGATCACGTCAACGCTGGCAACAAAGGGTTCCGACCGTTGGCTCCCGCGCCCCGAGCTGATCTTTGATCGGCAGTCGCTGCCGATAAAAGCAATGCCGCGTCTCCCTGTTTGTGTCACCGATTCCTCGGTGTCATCTAGCTCTTCAACCACACCGCCAAGCCTCGGACAACATGGCTCAACCATCCGTCGAAAAGGACACCAAGAAGAGCGGGAACGATGTGGACTCTGGGACATCCTCTTCTGTTGAAGAAGGATGGACAGAGTGGGATGAGGCCAAGGCCCGGAGGAAGTCCGTTTGTCTTAGCTTCCGTCTACTACGAAGCGCGGCGCTGACATCGTGCGTAGGGTTGACTTTTCCGTTTTGCCATTGTTGTTCCTTGGGCTTCTAGTCTTTCAGCTTGACCGGATGAACATTGCTAGCGCCTTGACTGGTGGCTTTGCAGAGGATATTGGTGTCTCGTTGGATACCGTCAATGCTGGCAACCAGATGATGTTTGCTGGTATTGTGCTGTTGGAAATTCCATCCAACCTTGCCCTTCAAAAGGTATGATCAAAGATGACGCTCAACGATAAGCATTTGCTGACCCCGTATTGCTAGCTCGGACCAAGGAAATGGATCGCAGGTCAAGTCCTGGCGTTTGGTACTGTGGCCTCACTGCAAATCTTCATCCATAACAAGGCCGGGTTCCTGGCCTCTCGGCTCATACTCGGCTTCTGCGAATCTGGCTACATCCCCGGTGCCATCTACACCCTCTCAACATGGTATGCCAAGCGAGAATTGGCCAAGCGGGTTGCTATTCTGTTCTTTGGCATGTTTGGCGCGAATGCAATTAGCCCATTGTTGGCCACCGGCATCCTGAAATTGGACGGTGCTGGGGGCTTGCATGGATGGCAATGGCTCTTTCTTCGTATGTTTTTCATCCCGACCTTGCCTCCGATTCGATGCTGACTGATCTTAGTTGAGGGCCTCTTTACCATTGTGGTCTCGTTCATTCTCATCTTCTTCCTCCCCGGATCCCCTGACATGCCAAGGCCGCTTCTCAGCCCAGGCCTGATCAGGTTTGATTCGAACGACCGCGATATTCTCCAGAAGAGGCTCGAAAGGGGCGATAATGAAAAGAAGGGAGGTGCGCAGGGAATGGAAATTCCCCTGCAGCTGGTGTGGAAGACTGTCACCCATTATCGGCGGTGGCCACATTTCATTTCTACCTTTTGCCTGTTCTCAACATGGAGTTCGTTGACCACCTACACACCTTCCATCTTGAAGTAAGTTATCCCCGCATATCCGTCTTTTAGCTTGGCTAAATATCTGACTGCAAACAGATCCCTGGGCTGGGACACTATTGCTGCGAATGCTTTGGCTGCCGTTGGTGCTTCCCTTTCGCTGGTCTTTGTCTTCATCTTTGCATACATCAGTGACAAAACCAACCTCCGCGGTGGCACTGTCATCCTTGCACAGGTCTGCTTTCTGATCACGCTGATCGTGGCAAGAGAAGTCCATCCACATGTCGGCCAATGGTCCCGATGGGCTTTGTGGACAGCTGTCAACGCGCTGGCCGTGGGGTATCACCCTGTCCACAACACATGGCTCCAACTCAACTGCAGAAGTCCAGGTGAACGGAGTATAAGTATTGCGTGAGTTCTTCTAGACCGAAAACGAACTTGCGGGGTTTTGCTGACAGGTGCAGGATGTGGGTCATGTCTGCCATTAGCGGGCTGATGGTTGGCACACAGTATTATCAGGCCGAGGATAGACCATTGTAAGCTGTGCTGCTCACTGCTGCACCTTGATCTATGCTAACGTTGTGTGCCTTAGTTACTCCAACGGTCTCCGCATTCAGATCATCATGGTGTCTGTTGGTATCGTCTTTGCCATCCTGCAGGTTGGGATTTACAAGGTGCATAATAAGAGAGTGGCTGAGGGGAAACATGAAGCTGATGAGGATGGTCAGGAGCCACAGATTTATGTCCCCTGAGTGGTGGATTGGCTCATGTTGTAAGAGGGATGCATTCGTATGGGAGAAGCGTGCAGTTTTCGTTTCATTTCACTCGTGGTTTAAGTGACAAAATCTGGTGGTGGACCTTCATGACCCTGGCGCGGAATGAATAAGCTTCGTCGATCCAATCTCATCGAAGTGAAACAGAGTTCTCGTATGTCTTGCAACGTGCTAGTGGTTCAGATAAAGTTTCGGTGCGTCCAAACCCAAAGATTAATGTGTCAGCCGACTTGCCGTGGCCAAGCAATGCAAGGACTATTCTTTCTTTCCAGGTCTCGAAGTCAGGATGCTGGTTCCTTACATCGTTGCGCGAGATAGCATCCTCCTTTCTTCTATCCCACCCCTTGGAGCTCTTGGAAAAGTCACCAACGACGCGCACTTGTTTAAAGACAAAACCATCCAGTTCGCAGATGCTGATTTGAGAAATCTTACCATCCTGCCCCAATTGGTCTTCAAGAGGCAAATTCCATCCACGCCATCGCATTATCGCAATGATATCAACCACAGCCAACAGAGAAACAATTGTACCAACTGCAGACTTGGCATCAGGTGTTGCCAGAAAGCGCACCATAGAACGAAGAGTCCCAAGTACAAAGACCCAGGATATGCCCCTCCGGTTAAGGTTGTGTAACATCTCACTTTTCCCGGGCTCCGGATAGAGCCAATAAGCTGTTCTGAATCGTCCAAGACCCAGCGAGCGGCGGACTATGGATATTTTGCGTGCCGGCAGATATGCGTAACTCTCCTTGTGTAACCAAGCATAACCTATCCTATCATCCCCCCAACCCCTAAGGATCCCCCTGCCACCCATCCCACTCCTCCGTCCAGCTCTCCTCCAAACCCGTCTTCTCATAGTACTCACTCCCAAACCGCAACGGCAAGCAAACCCCGTACGGATTTTTTTCTCCCTGCACACTCACCGGCGGGTGAATAAAACACGCTAACCCCTCCCTACACTCCCGTTTGTCCTCCCCCCCGCACCAATCGTCATTAGGTTGGCAAATCCCAGGGCCATCACAGGAAGGACCGCAGCCGCTATTGCGGGGATCGTCAGTGCAGTATTCTACTCTCTCGTCGCAGTTGTCGTAGAGGCCCCATCCGGCGCATTTGGTGTAGATTTTTTGCGTGGAGAGGTCGATTAGTTGGCAGGTGCCTGGGCAGCCGGGCCAGGAGGGGTCTTTGAGGGTTGTCCAGCGGGTGCAGGTTGGGAAGAGGGGGATGCATGTTAGGGGCGGAGCGCAGTCGCCGAGGTCGTAGTTGCAGGGAGCGTTGATCTCGGAAGGGGGAGTGGTTGGGAGGAGGCCCCCGAGGAGGATGGTTGGGAGCTTCATTTTGGGTGGCGGTGGGAGGGCCGGTGAGGTTGAAGGTTAGCTGCCTAGGCAAAGGTCGCATGGTGGTGTTAAATACTTGGTTGGAGGCACACGTCACTGT